TTCGCCACCTAAAATTTCGGCCATATCCACCCTCTTTCAGTTATTGAAGTTCCTTTAACAAGTATTGAAGTTCCTTTAAGCTGCTTCAATAATTCACAAAGATTTTCCTTTAACAAGTATTCGCCACCTAAAATTTCGGCCATATCCACCCTCTTTCAGTTATTGAAGTTCCTTTAACAAGTATTGAAGTTCCTTTAAGCTGCTTCAATAATTCACAAAGATTTTCCTTTAACAAGTATTCGCCACCTAAAATTTCGGCCATATCCACCCTCTTTCAGTTATTGAAGTTCCTTTAACAAGTATTGAAGTTCCTTTAAGCTGCTTCAATAATTCACAAAGATTTTCCTTTAACAAGTATTCTCCACCTAAAATTTCGGCCATATCCACCCTCTTTCAGTTATTGAAGTTCCTTTAACAAGTATTGAAGTTCCTTTAAGCTGCTTCAATACTTAACTTTCAGTTATTGAAGTTCCTTAACTAAAATTTCGGCCATATCCACCCTCTTCACCTCTAAGATTTTCCTTTAACAAGTAAGTATTCTCCACAATTTGGAATAATTCTCTTGAGATTCAGAAACAGACAACTCTATTTGGTGAAATCTCAAAAACTTTAGTCTATTCTCTTTGCTATTTTCATCTCTACCTGTTCCCAAAATCTATTCTTCTCCAAATATTCCATTTTAACTTTCATGTCCTCTTTCCCTTCCCTACAGTTCATTGTTTCTGTAATCAAAATATAAAACACTAATAAAGTTTAGGTGTAAAAGTAAACATTTATGGAGGATGGATAAACATTTAGCTTTCTACCAAGGATTTTAGATATTTTGTTAGATTTAAATGTACGAAAGCAAAAAAGAATTTTGTTTCCTGGCATTATAAAGCCCTCTGTTTTAAAGCGGTAGATTCAAATCCACAAAACCTCTTTGATACATAAAAGTAGGATACACAAGATAGAGAAGTGCAGTTTCAAGCTTAAAAATGGTGACAGGGGAAGCAGGCAATGAACTCACAAGAGTTGTTGTCGCATTAAAAGAGTGAAGCAACTTACATTGGCTTCTGCTGCAGGATTTACATTTCCATTCACGAAAAATGCACCACCAAGAATAATAATCTTCCCAATTTTCTTTGAAAATCCGGGATCCAATTGCAAAGCCTATATCAACCTTATGTGGGTAAATTGTAGTGAAGTAATGTGAAAAATACATTTTTACTAGGAATTTAGAATCAGACCAGTGCAATATTTGTTAGCGGTCCTAGAGCCACAACTGTTACTTCTCCAGGGTAAAGATTTGCCTGTTCAACAAGAAAAGCAGCTGCCGACTGGTCTATCGGAATCCCATTTGGAGGTGGAAAATTTTGGTTGCCAAGTCCATCGGCCCCATGGACAAAATCAGCAACACGAAGTTTTGTACCTTTCTTCATACGAATAACATATCAAGTTAACAAACATTACAAACAAAAAGGACAAAAGAGAAAACATTCAGACGTCAATGAGTTACATTTTTGTATAGACATCTCGCATATATGAGAGAAAGAGAATCATAATTAGGTGTTGCATTAGCTAAGTAATGAGGCAAATATCATGTTGAAAATAATACAGTAATATTCTAACTATAAATATGGATTCCAAAGGCTTTTACAGATTAAATACATAAAATTTTCACATACAAAGGGTATGAAGAGCCAACGTTTATCTCAAAATGTCAATGAAACTATCAAATTTCTGAAGTTTAAAATTTTCGAGTATTCCTCACCCGCATGAATATGTCCATAAATTTGGTATTTCCACATTCACATCAAAGTAGACAAATTTTGAAAACAACACTCACAACCTTAACTATTTGGACGCCACAGAGTTTTCTTGGAAGCTTTTAGTGTTGAACCAAAAGAGTGGAGAATCAGTAGATGTTAGACAAAGCACCTTGACAGAAGAAAGTCCTACTCAAACAATCAAATTCAAAACTCTACTAAACAAGTAGAGCACATGATACGAGAAGCAGTGGATGTAAGATAATGGAGTTTACAGTTATTGTGACATGCGATCCTTCAGCCACTGGGATGTCAGTCCTACCAGCAATCTCCAACTGATGAAACAACAAAAATTAAGATGAGACAAGCAAAGGGGAACCAAAAAGTAAGAGAAAGAAAAACAAGAGATGAACAACATTAAGCAAAGGTATGATTCTTATCTATTCATAAGTGACTCACCAGATGCAAGGCATTTCTTGTGGAAAGAGTAGTATAAACATTCCCAAAAATAGTGGTTAGTCCAAGCACATCCAACTCTGGGGATTGTAAAGCCAGAAAAATGGCCATAGCATCATCTACAGATATATAACTAACTTCATCAGTAAAATACTCTGCCCCAACCAGATGGACTTGAAAAATCGGTTCAATTAGGATCGAAATGAATAGAGATGGAGCAATTTAGGTCTGTGTTAAACATAATCGATGAGAAAAACGAAATGAAAAACATTACCGATGCCAGGGTCAGTGTCGATGATAGTCTTCTTGCGGGAATCGGCCATGGATTTTGAGAAGAGAAGAAGGCTAATGTGGATCGGGGTGTGAAGAAAGAGAAGAAGGGATCAAGATGAGAAGGATGAGATGGTTAACATTTTGATGTCAGGATCTTCCCTAATTAAATATTGTAACCATTCAAGTTGAGGAATGTGGATGATCTCCTCGAAATTCAGTGGAAAAGTGAAAAGGAAAGCGAAAAGCTGATGGCCTTTTTGTGTTCACCCGCCATTGTAGAAAGGGTGGAATTCCACCCGATAATATAAGTGTGAGTATTCTATATAATGAGTTTGTATAAGATTAGACCATAAAATACTTAATCTCTCGTTTTGTTAATTGAGAAATGTAACGACCCACTTTTTGAGGGACTCGAGTCAGGGATAATTACTCAATGATGTGGAAATAAGAAAAATTAGTAAAATTTAAAACTTTTAAACACATGCACTTTGAAATTTAATTACTCAAATGACGAATTTTTTTTTTTTAATTTTTTATTTTAATAAGAAACAAGAAGAGACCACTAAAATACACTACTACAAGATCAAACTATTTAAAATGCATCGAATAAGGGACTGCATACTCAAATGTGATGGGACTCTCTGTAGCCAACAACCCAGATGTGACTCCGACCGCTACGTCAAACTTCACCTAAAAAGAAAGTTGAAGTAGCAGAAATGAGTATATAAAATATACTCAGTAATTAGTTTGTTGGTAGTTCATATTTTATTATTAAGTATTATTGATCTTATTCATGGGTTCCGTATCTTATTTTCTTTTGGGGATTTATCCCCTCCTATTAGGCTTTTCCTAGGCTACACCCTACCTTTTCTCATTCTACTTTGTTTTGGACCTCCAGCCCTCAGAATATTCTAAAGTTGTCTAGGTCTCCAGTTAGTCGTTTCTGCTAGTCTCTCATTATTATCATCATATCTCAGAGTCCTCGAGGCGCGACCTCGATATAACTCATAGGGTTCATGCATGTTAAGGCTTGACCAACTCTAAGGTGCAACTGTGGACCCCTACGCTCGTGGCAGGTTCACTGAAAGAAAGTTAACTGGCAAACTTCCTAAAAGTCCCCATAGGGCACAAATCATATATCATAAAACATCATATGCCAGTTATATGGTTATCCGGACCCTTGACAATCGAGTCGAGTTTACGATGAGGGGCTAGTTGGCGAACCTCTATTGTCCCCATATAACCACATAAATTACATGCATGAACGATATTCATAACTAACTCATAAGGTACAACGTTGACCCTTGTCGCTCGTGATAAGCTCACTACAGAAAGCTAACTGGAAAATTTCATGGTAGTCCCCACGGGATACAATCATAAATCATAAAATATCGTAAGTCAGTTCTATGGTTATTCGGACCCCTGACAATCGAGTCACATTCACAATTAGGGGCTAGTTGG